CCCATTCAAACTTAGTTTTCTTTTTGATAGCTTAGAAAAAATAGATGCACTTGTCTCCTGACCGTCTGAGGAATCTCCCCAATGCCGCTAGACAACTTGTTAGCTTCTAAACTTCTTTGACAGAGCAGGGTGACTTCATGTCAATGACCGCTTGTATCTTATCTAGGTTGGCCTCTATTCCCCTTTGATCAATAAAAAATACGAGAAACTTCCCAGACTCAACACCAAAGACACACTTCTTGGGATTGAGCGTGACCTTGTGCCGCCTGAGTGTGGCGAATGTTTCACGGAGGTCAGCAAGGTGATCTGCCTGTTGCTTGGATTTGACTATCATGTCATCAATGTACGCCTCTACATTCCTCCTAATTTGATTAATGAAGACTGTATTAATCATTAGTTGGAAAGTAGTAGGCGCATTTTTCAAGCCAAACGGCATCACAATATAGTAGAATGACCCCTAATCAGTGACGAATGACGTCTTCTCTTGATCCTTTTTCCACAAGGGTATCTGGAGAAAGCCTGAATATGCGTCCATAAAGCTCATGAGAGCATGTCCGGTTGTAGAGTCGACCAGACTGTCGATATTTGAAAGTGAATAACTATCCTTCGGACATGCCTTTTTCAAGTCAGTGTAATCAACACACATGCGCCAGGTACCATTCGACTTCTTTACAAGCTGAACATTCGCAACCCAATCTGGGAAGTAACATAGTCGAATGAACTCAGCGTCTAACAGCTTTTTTACTTTAACGGCTGCCGCCTGGCTTCTCTCCTGTCGTGGTTTCTTTTCTTTTCTCTAACCGGCTTCTTTTTGGGATACACAGCGAGATTGTGGACAGCTAGATCAGGGTTGATGTCTTGCATCTCTTCCACTTCAAAGGCAAAGATAGCTTTGAACTCCTTCGACAAATTGTGCAAGTCTGCGCCCAATTTTCCAAGAGCTACCGTCCCCACCTTAACAGTACGATCCAGACGTGTGTCGTTCAAAGCAATATTAATGCGTTCACCAGCCGGCTGGGGACGCAGTTTGTCTAACCGTTCTCCGGTCAGTGATTGCTATTGCTTCACGTTTTTTATGGCCACGAAATGGTCAGCCTTTCTCTTCTTGTCGGCTGCTGTTGGAGCAGGCTCAACTTCCTTAACATCATCAAGGTCTATTGGTTGTTCACTCTGGCCGGCTATAGCCCCTGTGGGCTTGACGTATGAGAGATAACACTCTCTATCCGTCTTCTGATCCCCGTTTAGGGAGCCAACATACCCATCATCCTTTTCAAATTTCAACAGCATGAGGGATGGAATAATGACGGCTTTGGATTCGTTCAGAATTGGACGGCCCAATATTAGATTATAGGCGGTCAGCTCTTCCATGACCAAGAACTGGCAACCATGTCGCGTCCTTCTCTTTTTTCCCCCAGCCGGATGGGTAAGTCAATCCGTCCTACCGGGTGCACGACTCCACCCCCAAAACCAACCAAGGGGTGAGACACCTTGTGCATGCTGCCTGGCTTGTACTTCAATTTTGAATAGCACTTGTGGCTGATGAGGTCATACAAGCTTCAAGTGTCAATGAGGATCTGACCGACCTTTTGGTTGGCCATTTTGCACTCACTGACAATGAGTCATCATACGATCGCCGGACCTTGCCCTTGTCCTTTTCAATGATGATAACCTCAGGAAAGATGCCAGTAGACACCTAGCCCTCATCAAGTGAATTGACTTCCAGCCGTCTTACATTTTCCTTGGTGCCCTTGATGGTTGGACCTCCTCTAGCAAAGTCGCCTGCTATTGTGTAGATCAGCTCTTGATCAGTGTCCGAACTACTAGCAAGTTGGGCATCAGTTTTGGACAACTGCCCAGGGTTTGTCTTCAGTGTCACCTTAGACTTCAGAATGTAAGAATTCAGCACCCCCTTATCAGCCAGATGGTCCAACAGCCGCCTGAGACTATAGTAGTCGTTGGTTTCGCGACCAGTATCCTCATGGAAATGGCAGTACTTGTTTCTATTCCGGTTTTTAAAAGGAACCTTTCATAGTAGTTGGCTTCTCTATGGTCATCCAGTCTTTAATCTCCATGAGGATGGAGTAGCAATCTTTGTTAAACTCGTACTTTGGGTCGTACGGTTTAAAATCTCTCTTTTTCTTCTAGGAAGGCTGATCAAAGTCGTCAGCCGCCCAAATCTCTTTTCTCTTCCCACCCTCTTTAGCTTTCTTAGCCAGCTGAACTTGTCGACTCTCTTTTTTGTCAGACTTCTCAGAGTTTGACTGCTTGCTGATAGAGCAGAGCTCGGTCACCTGTATATAGGCTTCCGCCTCATCAACTCTTCCTGGAGGGTGGCAACCCTCTTTCTGACGAGGTAAAATTTAAAAGTCGACCCGTCCTTCGGACCTTTGAAAAAGTTTGTATCGGCCACATCGTCAGACAGCCCTTGAATCTGGATTCTTACCGGATTGAACCACCTGACATATGACCACAACCCTTCTTTATCCCCCTGCTGCACTGCACCCAAGTCGAGACTTGTTTTCTTGTCACGGATATTCATAGAAAAGTTAGAAGCAAACAAAAACGCAAGCTTCTTGAAGCTATTGATGCGCCAGCTGGCAGGTTGACGAACCAATGTTGGGCGATGGCTTTCAATGTAGCCGGAAAGCATCGGCACCAGGTGGCGTCATCATCCAACCTCTACAAGTACATGAGGTTGGTGTAGGCCATGAGGTGGTCTTCAAGGTTGGTGGTACCATCATAAGTACCCATCATGACATTTTTAACCTTAGCCGGCTATGCCGCCTCGGTTATTTCCTTGGAGAATGCAGAAGGTTGTTCCCCAAGTTTTAGCAGACAGAGCTGCCAGTCCAAAGGTTGGACGTTTTGTGCCGGCTAACCCCCAAAGAGGGCCGGTTTTATGTAAGGTTGGACGTTTTGTGCCACTTGACCCCCAAAGAGGGTTAGTTGCATGTAAGGTTGCCCATATGGCATGTATGGCTGCTGAGGCACATACGGGACCGAATGGATCATCTGAGGGCCAATGTGGACGGACTGGCCACCTGACTGACTCTATTGTACAAATTGAGAATACCTCTTTGAGGTATAGAAGCTGTCTGGGTAGGTTGACATTGAAGTCGACTCAGACAATTGTTGGTTTCTCTTCTACTCGATTAGGAGCCGGGCATCTGAGTATGTCTTCTTTGAGCCATCCGGCTGGACATGCCGGATAGTCTTCTTCTTCCCTGTCTCAAGGAATCGGATCTTGGTAAGATCGATCAAGGGCCGCTTCCCCTCCTTTGATTTAGGATGTGGAGTGGGCTCTCGGTCCCTGACGGTTTGTTCTTCTTAGAGGGAGAAGGTTTCTTGGCCGACTGATCCCTATTGATTAGGTCCTTTTTCTCAAACTGAGCCAAATATTTCTTGGTTTTCCGTGTTCCTCGGGAGAGTTACGTCACTACATTTGGATTTCGGGCTCCTGTACCTACAAAACAACGGAGACTCTAGTTGGGTGGAGTTCCGCCTCCGACGACCAAGTTAAAACGTGTATGAAGAATGTAAAAAAGTGCGGAAAGTGAAGTAGAATCTTCTCGGATTCCGAGATCAGGTATATTCTCTGAGGTGTAGGAATAAAGTGTTTTCAATGAATGAATGTGTATTCAGTAATTGAATCTGTTCTTCCCCAAGGGGGGTAAATCTCCCTATTTATAGGGTCATTGAAATTCGTGCCTCCGTCCTAGGATACGGAAACCTAGGACTGATGGGTTGCGCCGCTTTTTGGCAATCTCGAGAATTAGGCCATGAAGACCGTCTTTTTCCAATAATTGTGAATGCCACGTGTCAGCCAAAGAGAGTTTCATTTTGAACCTCTCTTAAGGTGACACGTGTCACCATCTTATTGGGCCACGTGGCCTTGGGTATTTTTACCCAAAACAACTACGATAACATGAACTCTTAGGTAGAATTGGAATCTCAAATTTCTTTTATTTGTTCTTTGTTTCCTATATTTCTTATCATACATCATCTCATAGTTTTAAGAACCTTTTATTTCAGTGTTTTGACTTCCATACTTTATTAGGCATAATTAAACATTAATGCGCTGTAAAACAAAGTTCCATCTTTTCCTTTAATTAGTAATTGAATTACTACATTAATGAGTCCTACTCATTATTTTATGAAGCGAAAAGATATGTTGGTTGTCATTCTTTGACAAATTGAGTTTTCAACTCTTTACTTCATGCTTATCAAAACTACCTAGTATTTTGAATACATGATGTCCAACCGTCCTTTCGGACTAAGCCATAAAAGTCATTTAAGAGAAGTTGTATTTAAGAAATGCCTTTTCTTTCCTTGAGAACCATTCTTAAAAGATTTCCTTTTACTAATCGTTGGAAACATTATAATTTGATTTAGAATTCTACAAATATAAGTGCAAAGTATAACCATTTATCAAGATAACAGAATAAGCATTGAAATACATGCAAACTAGCAATTTCAATTAACTTATTAACGTTCTATTCACGCATTTATAAATTTGTCCCAATTAGGCGAGAATAAAACGACTCTAAAATCCAAAACTCAATAAGTGATTAAGCATGCTTTAGCTTGTCTTAACACTTAATATTTTAAGGTAAGCAATTTAATTGCTAATAGCTCTAAGCTATTCTTGGTTCGATAAATCGTCGCATCCAATGCTTCCTTGACAATTATCGTTAACGACATCTAAGGACTCCTTACTGATATCGTTAAGTTTAACCAAAACTAACTTGTATATGATGCTTTGCTTTAGTAAGCCCATCAACATACCTTACATCCGTAGGAAAGTAGTAATGCCTTACTTTGGCATAGCCCATTGATATAGTCATAAAGTATATTATTTTATTTCATTAAACTCTCAATTTTATATTGATATTTAATGGTTTAATGATATATTAAGTAATTTTCTTCCCGAGGCACGTACTACTACTATTTTATTTATTTGTGTGTAGGAAATAAAATATTGGTACAAATTGCATTTTACGACACTTCCGGTTAAGAGAAGCAAATTGCTAGTTGTTGACTCTCAAGTATTTTAAGCCCAAAATTATTTTACTTGGTAAACATTTATAGTTGGGTCTAAAATATAACAATCTGTCACAGAGCTCAAAACTCTTCTTTGCTCTCACTGTTATTGCCGATAAGACACAAAACAAACTACCTTGAGTAAAATTTTTGGAATCAAATTGTCAAACAAAAAAAGATAGAGATAGAATCAGCTGCGGATGGGAGCGAAATACTCCGAACAGTTGAGATAAATAAAAGGTTCTTTATCGTTTTGTTAGGAGAGTTTTTGGGGGGATTCAGTTCCATATTTTTAGGGGTTTTTGGGGGTGTGATTCTGGAGCTTATCTGGAGATCTTGATGGGCTGCAAAATTGAAAATAGAACCAGAAGAAAAGCAGCATCATCAAACTCGGGGGGAAGGGAGCAGCGTTTTGGAGCTCTAATTGCTACGAAATCAGCTAACTTGGTGGGGCTGAAAACTATACTTTGAGGGCGACATTCTCGAGGACATCTGAGTAGTTTTCTAGTAGCAACGAGCTAATTTTCTTCATGGTATTAGATAAGTTGATTGTCAGTTACTTACTTTGGTAGAACTATAATTTTGTTTAAATAATTGAATTGAAAAAGTCACATTTTGCTTCTTACTTCTCGCCATGTTCATGGTTGGTATTGGAATTTGGTTACTTAGTCTACCAAGTTTTCATTTTCAATTACGCTTTGCTTTGTTAATTATAAAAACAAAATAGTTTCTACTTTTGTTCTTATTCTTAACATGTCAGGCTAATTAATTTAGGGTAGGGAGATATATTATGCATTGGATTATAGGATTGTGAGAATAGATATGTTATAATTCGTGGGTTTTATGTTTATATCTTGATTGGATTGATATTTTGTTTTATCTGTATGAATTAGTTAAATTATATTCTAGACCGGCCATCTTTAGTATAGTTTGCTAGTTTAATTGCTAGAATATTGATTTGTGATACATAATTGTCCGGATTAATATTCCTTAATAGCACTTAGGTGTTTGATGGGTGACTGAAGCTTGTCCGATGCCTATGATTATCAGCCCTTTAAGTTGCACGAATCCGAGCTTGTGAGATTTGTGGCTTAAGTTAGCTACTTCCTAGTTATTAATTCTGCTAATTAATCGAGTCTAGAGAGCTTGTTCTAGATTGTTAGTTAGTTAGACAATACTCCAAGAGCTTGTTTGGTTTATTTGCAATTAAGGGAAGTGTTGAATGTTTGTTTGTGTTCATCGGCTAACATTGAGATAAACATGATTTATATATTTCGATGATCAATCGATATTCCAATGCTATATTGTATCTCCCGATCCCTATTTTGTCATTCTTGATTTTTAATATTTATTATTACTGTTAGTTTTATATCTCCGTACTTAGTTTGTTTTCAAGTCCATAGTATATATATTAGATCGTAATAGACATTCTTCTAATCGGAGGATTTTAACATACACAAGTGATATTTTAATAATCCAATTCTCTGTGGGATCGACCCTAGCTTACCCTACTACATTTTTAGGAGGTTAGAGTTAGGTTTTTTTTTTGTAGACACGCGACAGTCGTACCAAATTTTGGCACCGTTGCCGGGGAATTGGCCTTTTAATTACATTATTACTTGTGTTTTTGCTAACTTTTCCTACTAACTTGTCATCCAGTATTTGCAGCAACGAATCAAGGACTTATAATTAATCCTTTTTCTACTCTTCCTGTAGCTAAAAGGACTCGTGCTCAAATATTGGAGCAAGCTCGTCATATTCCGTTACGTCACAGTGAAAGTTCATTTTTGGACGAGGAGGGTGAATATATTTTTGAGATGGGTGATCAAACACTAAAGCAGCTCGCAGCTCCAACATTTGATCCAAATTTATTGTTCATAGTAGACGATGAGGCAGAAATTGAGGTCAAGCCGGGGTTGATTAGAGCTCTTCCCACATTTTCAGGTTTCCGTAATACTAACTCCTTGGGTTCAGTCCACATGAATGGGGCTAGCAGATTTTTAAAGGAATTTCACATAGCATGTGCGGGGATGAAACCGGCTGGGGTCACCCTCGACTAACTGAAGTCAAAGGCATTTCCTTTTGCCTTGTCTGATGCTGCTACGGAGTGGTTGTTTAAAGTACCTGCTGGAACCATCACAACATGGGATCAAATGCTAAAAGTATTTGCAAGAAGATATTTTCCAGCATCTTTGATAGCTAATATTAGGAAAGAAATATGTGGGATTCGACAGGACGATGTATAGACACTTCATGAGTACTGGGAGCGTTTCAAGAAACTATGTGATTGTTGTCCAAACCATCAGATCATTGAGCAATTATTAGTACAATACTTTTATGAAGGACTTAGGGAGACAAACATGAATTTATTTGATGCAGCAAGTGGTGGAGCCATTGGTTGACAAAACACCCGCAGATGCAAAGAAACTGATTGCAAATATGGCTGCAAACTCTCAGTATTAAGGAGGTCGAAATATTAAGTCAACTTATGTACGTTAAGTAATGAAGTGGTGAGCTCTAACTCGAGCAACAAGTAGCTAAACTCACTTCCTTAGTGGAGCGAGTAATGATCGAAAAAGGGCAAGAAAAAGCATGTGGCCTCTATTCAATGATAGGACACCCAACTGATATGTGCCCTACTATGCAAGTAGAACAAGTTAATTCTATTGGTGGTGGTCAGGGGCAACAAAGACGTTATGATTCGTTCTCTCAAACTTATAATCCCGGGGTGGAGAGATCATCCAAACTTGAGATATGGTAATGCTCAGTAGCAGGCAGGCAACTCTAACCTTAGACCACCAGCTTTCCAGCAACAGCAAGCATCTAATCCTCCACCTGGTTTCATCAGCAACCACAATATCAGCCGCGACCTCAAAATCAGCAAGTTTCCCAGCCATAATCTGGTAGCATGTCTCTAGAAGATACCGTGAAGGCAATGGCTGACAACACTTTGCATTTTCAGCAAGAGACAAGAAGTGGTCTAAAGAACTTGGAGAACCAAGTTTCTCAGTTAGCTAACACAGTGGGAAAGCTCCAAGCTCAGAGTTCTAACAAGTTGCCAAGTCCACCAGAGAGAAATCTAAAGGAGAACGCAAGTGCAATATCACTTAGAAGTGGCAAGAAATTAGAGATCCTAGCGAAAAAGACTGAAGGGCTGGCAAAACACCAAGTGGAACAGGAGACTATTGTTCCAGAGCAAGATAAGTATCCCCCTAAGGTAAGTGATGTTGTTTATCCTAATACTAATCAGTTTTCTTCTTCTGTTCCATTTCCTAGCAGGTTATCATCTAAGAATAAGAAGAAAGATCATGAAAAGGAGAAAGAGACCCTAGACATTTTTCGCAAGGTTGAGGTGAACATACCTCTATTGGAAGCTATAAGACAAATGCGGCGGTATGCAAAGTTCATGAAGGATTTGTGCACTAACAAGAGAAGATTGATTGTAGATGAAAAATTCAGTGTAAGTGAGAATGTGTCTACTGTGTTACAGAGGAAAGTTCCTCCAAAGTGCAAGGATCCAGGTATTTTTACTATACCCTGTAAAATGGGTAACACGAGATACGATAAATGCATGCTAGACTTAGGAGCTTCTATTAATGTCATGCCTTTGTATATCTATAAATCTCTGAACTTAGGACCTTTGAAAGACACTCGAGTGATTATTCAGCTTGTCGACCGTTCTAATACATACCCTGTAGGAGTAGTTGAGGATGTCTTATTGCAAGTGAATGAACTGGTATTTGCTGCTGGCTTTTATGTTTTAGATATGCCAAATGATGAATCCCCTAGTGCAGCACCTATCTTATTTGGAAGACCTTTTCTGAAAACATCCGGCAATAAAATTGATGTTCACTGTGGGGTGTTGACCATGGAATTCGATGGGGAGATTATTCGTTTTAATTTATTTGATGCCATGAGATACCCCTTTAATTGTGAATCTGTTTCTAGTATAGATGTCATTGATGCACTAACTGAGCAAGTATTTTGTCTCTCTGGTCATTATGGGTCAGATATTGTTTTGAATGAACGTGTGGAAAAAGAGAAAAATACTGACTTGTAGAACCATTTTGAGCTTGAAGATGAGATCAAGGAAGCTTTCTCTTCCTTGGAAGTGCTTCCAAATAAGCAAGGAAGGTATGCAGATCGTTTTATGAAATTACCTATCACATCTAACAGACTTTTGACTTCTACTATACAGGCCCTTAAAGTGGAACTAAAGTCACTGCCAGACCATCTCAAGTATGCATTTTTGGGAGAAAATGACACTCTGCCAGTCATAATCGCGAGTAATCTAACTCCGACGCAAGAGCAAAAGCTGGTGCAAGTTCTCAAGGAGCATAAAACAGCTCTAGGGTGGAAGGTTGTTGATATAAAAGGAATTAGCTCCTCTATGTGTCAGCATAGAATCTTATTAGAAGAGGGAGCTAAACCTGTGAGACAAGTTCAAAGGCGACTTATCCACCTATGATGGAAGTGGTGAAGAAAGAAGTAATGAAGCTTCTTGAAGTAGAGGTGATATACCCTATATAAGATAGCCCTTGGGTCAGTCCCTTGCAAGTGGTCCCAAAAAATTCAGGAGTCATAGTGGTAGAAAACGCGAAGGGAGAAATGGTTCCCACACGAGTTCAAAATGGGTGGAGAGTTTGTGTAGATTACAAGAAACATAATTCTATGACTCGAAAAGATCATTTTCCCTTACCCTTTATTGATCAAATGGTAGAACGTCTTACTGGTCATGCTTATTATTGTTTTCTTGACGGATATTCAGGTTATGTGTAGGTACCTAGAGCTCCGGAGGATCAAGAAAAAACGACATTCACATGCCCGTACGACACATTTGCGTATCGTCGTATGCCATTTGGAATGTGCAATGCTCCAGCGACTTTTCAGAGATGTATGGTAAGCATCTTTTCAGATTATCTTGAAAATTTTATAGAAGTTTTCATGGATGATTTCACTGTGCATGGAGATTCTTTTGATAGTTGCTTAGAACACCTCACTTTGTTCTTAAACGTTGTCTTGAAACTAACCTTGTGCTTAATTCTAAAAAATGTCATTTCATGGTTCAACAAGGTATAGTTTTAGGCCATATTATGTTTGCTAAAGGAATAAAATTTGATAAAGCTAAAATAGATCTTATTTCTTCTCTGCCTTACCCCGCCTCTTTGCGGGAAGTTCGTTCTTTTCTTGGTCATGCAGGTTTCTATCGAAGGTTTATTGAAGGCTTTTCGAAGATTGGACAACCACTATGCAGACTACTCCAAAAAGATGTGGAGATCCACTTTGATGAGGCCTGTAAGAAAGCATTTGACAAGATGAAAGACAAGTTGGTCACTGCCCCTATTCTACAACCTCCTAACTAGGAGCTCCCGTTCGAGCTAATGTGCGACGCTTCTAATTATGTTGTAGGGGCAGTGCTAGGCCAGCGAGTTGGAAAAGTTCCCCATGCCATCTACTATGCCTCAAGGACTTTGGATGCAGCTCAAGCTAATTATACTACAACTGAGAAAGAACTTTTAGCTGTAGTTTTTGCTTTAGATAAATTCAGGTATTATTTATTGGGTACTAAAATTGTTGTGTTTACTGATCATGCAGCGCTGAAATATATATGGTCAAAGGACGTATCCAAACCTAAGCTAATACGTTGGATTTTATTGCTTCAATAGTTTAATGTTGAAATAAAAGATAAAAAAAAGGTTCTGACAATAGTTTTGCTGATCACTTGAGCAGGTTAGTTATTAAAGCTGATGATAAAGCCCCAATCAATGAAGAGTTCCCCGATGAGCAACTTCATGCCTTGAGCTCGGGAACTCCTTGGTATGCTGATTTGGTAAATTTTTTGGTATCTGGGAAGTTTCTAGGAAACTACACAAAGGCACAAAAGGATCAGATGCGGAGCATAGCAAAGTATTATATATGGGATGACCCGTATCTCTAGAAATACTATGTTGATCAACTGATCAGAAGGTGCGTACCTGATTCTGAATTTCTTTCTATACTAAGCTTTTGTCATTCTTATGCTTGTGGAGGACATTTTGGACCCAAGAGAACTGCACGCAAGGTTTTGGAAAGTGGATTTTACTGGCCCTCTATATTCAAAGATGCATATGATATATGTAAGGGCTGTGATAATTGTCAAAGGACAGGTACAATCGGTCCTAGAAATGAAATGCCCCAAACTCCTATTTTGTTTTGTGAAATCTTTGATGTTAGAGTATGGATTTCATGGGACCCTTCCCCTCTTCTTTCGGTTTTCAATATATTTTGCTCGCTGTCGATTATGTTTCGAAATGGGTGGAAGCTATAACCACCCATACTGATGATTCTAAAGTGGTTGCAGAATTTTTGAAATCGAACATTTTCGCTACATACGGATTTCTGAGGGCCATTATCAACGATAAGGGGACACACTTCTGTAATAAAATCGTATGGGCTCTTTTAAAGAAGTACAATGTGTTTCATAGAGTCTCCACGGCATACCACCCACAAACAAATGGACAAGCTGATGTTTCCAACCAGGAAATCAAATCCATTCTGGAGAAGAATGTGAATCTAAACAGGATAGATTGGAGTCTCCGCCTCAACGATGCTCTGTGGGCGTGCAGAACAACATATAAAACTCCGATTAGGATGTCACCTTACAGGCTAGTGTTCGGTAACCTTTCAGTAGAATTGGAACACAAAGCTTTTTGGGCTGTGAAGCAATGCAATATGGAGATGGATGCAGCAGGTGAGCAAAGGAAACTTCAATTACAAGAGCTTGAGGAAATCCGAAATGATGCTTTTGAGAATGCGAGAATTTATCAGGAGAAGACTAAGGCATTCCATGATCAGCGCATCACACGAAAGACATTTACAGTTGGCCAGAAAGTTCTCTTGTACCATTCTTGGCTTAAACTCTTTCCTGGCAAATTCCGTTCTCGATGGGTGGGGCCCTTTATTATTACCAAGGTATATGACCATTGTGCGATGGAGATTCGTAGTGAGGACACAGGGAAGGAATTCAAGGTGAACAATCATTAACTCAAGCCTTATTATGAAGGTTATCAGGTCCAGAACATTGAAGTGATGGAGCTAGAAGCTCCAAATTATGAAGACTAGTATGCTGGAAAGACGTCGGGCTAATGACTATAAATAAAGCGCTCTTGGGAGGCAGCCCAAATTTAGGATTATAATTTGATTGTTTTTCATTTTTTTTTTCATCATTTTATTTTAAATGTTATGTAGTGTACAAAAAAGAAAAAAAAAAAAAAAAAAGAAAAAAACCCAGAGAGCTTCCAGATTTTTGATATGCTAGCTTATTTTCAAATCCTTTATAGTAGTCTGGGTACAGACACATTTAATTTGCTTGAAATTGGTATTGTTTGTTACAGACACATTTAATGGAGCACATACATTTGCTGCCAGATTATGACATCGTTTGGGTATCCATTTTTAGCAACCTGGAGCGTGCAACAAGAATATGGAGGCATTTTACATAGATACATACATTCACTTCCAATGCTATCTATCTAGCTGTAGCATAAGCATTTTTTTTTCAGAAGATTGAAAGGGAGGTTGAGCATCTCCAATGTGTTTACAGCAAGACTTCGTGAGCAAGTCCAAGCTTGGGGGGATGCCATCAGGCTGGCTACACAGTCAGTTACCTACAATATTCAACTTCATCCAGTGAGCTCGTTTCCTTGTCTCTTTCTATTTTTATCCCCATACTTTTTTTTACAGTCACACATTGAGGGAAATGTGTGAATTAAGCTTGGGGGGGAATGCGTTATATTCGGTCTCTTGCGGTGTCTTGGTATGTCTCTGGTATGGTATGGTATTGTATTGAGTTTGACAATGAATTTTGGACAGTGCTTTGCATATGACAGTGCTTAACTTTGGTTGATAGACTTGTATGTATGCAGAAAAAAACAAAAAAAATAAAATAAAATTGATTCTGTAAACAATAGCTAGTCTGGTGGAAGTCAACTTGTGATGGGGTAAAAACAAATAAATGAGTTAGGCATCAAAGTTTTACACCACATAAGCCAAAAATCTTACCCATGACATGATTCCATATTAAACCCAATTTGAGCTTTATAGACCTACTTTTCTTGCGAAATGTCTAAAACATGAAATACTTACCTATAAGGTTAGTAGAGCATATTAAAGGGTAAATTGGATCATGGTTGTGGTAAAGATGTATGGTGGTGAAGTTTATTTTTTTAAAAGTTTCATGTTAAAGGCTCTACGTACCAATGTATGGGTTATAAAAAAAATATAAAAACAAAATAAAGAAAAGAACCCATAAAAGTACGTGTGATGTTTTATGTATCGTGATTGAGTAACTCGAGTTAGTAAATTCGTAGGGGTATCTTAAAACCTAGTGCCTTGGGCCAACTGGATCGGGAGTCACTTGTAGAAAGCTCGCTACATGGGTTACTTAACAGGTACTTGACATTAAGAGTCATGAAACACATTCAAAAAAATCAAAAATAAAAATATGGAAAATAAATAATAATAATATCGTGAAGTCAAGGGCTGTGATATGAGCTCTTATGTTGTGTTTGTTGTGTTGATTTGCTTTTCTAATCTTACTCTTTATTACCACACTCCAAAACACTCTCTAAAACCTCACTTTACCTTGACACCACTGCATTCTTATTTAAGTCCTAAGGATCTTTGAGTTACTCCACTACATTGTTGATGGAAGCTAGGTTGTAATTGTTTTAAGAGTCGGTATTGGCTTAACATATGACTTTTGCATACATTACTTGACTTGAAGCTGTTTTGAGCAAAAGAGAGTATTCTAATTGTGTACTACTACATCAATAGTCTAACTACTTTGCGATTTCATGTCTTTGCTTGAGGACAAGCAAAATTGAGCTTGGGGGAGTTTGATAGAGTCATAAAGTATATTATTTTATTTCATTAAACTCTTGATTTTATATTGATATTTAATGGTTTAATGATATATTAAGTAATTTTCTTCCCGAGGCACGTACTACTACTATTTTATTTATGTGTGTAGGAAATAAAATATTGGTACAAATTGCATTTTACGACACTTCCGGTTAAGAGAAGCAAATTGCTAGTTGTTGACTCTCAAGTATTTTAAGCCCAAAATTATTTTACTTGGTAAACATTTATAGTTGGGTCTAAAATATAACAATCTGTCACAGAGCTCAAAACTCTTCTTTGCTCTCACTGTTATGGCCTATAAGACACAAAACAAACTACCTTGAGCGAAATTTCTGGAATCAAATTGTCAAGCAAGAAAAGATAGAGATGGAATCAGCTGAGGATGGGAGCGAAATACTCGGAGCAGCTGAGATAAATAAAAGGTTCTTTATCGTTCTTTTACGAGAGTTTTTGACGGAATTTTGTTCCGTATTTTTAGGGGTTTTTGGGGGTGAGATTCTGGAGCTTATCTAGAGATCTTGCTGGGCAGCGAAATTGAGAACTCTACTTTGGGGGTGACATCTTCGAGGACAACTGGGTAGTTTTCTGGCAGCAGCGAGCTTATTCTCTTCGTGGTATTAGCTAAGTTAATTGTCAATTAGTTACTTTGGTAGAACTATAATTTTGTTTTAATAATTAAATTGAAAAAGTCACGTTTTGCTACTTACTTCACGCCATTTTCATGGCTGGTATTGGAATTTGGTTACTTAGTTTGTCAAGTTTTCATTTTCAATTACGTTTTGCTTTGTTAATTATGAATTCCATAATTTCTACTTTTGTTATTATTCTTAACATGTCAGGCTAATTAATTTAGGGTAGGGAGATATATTATGCATTGGATTATTGGATTGTAAGAATAGATATGTTATAATTCGTGGGTATTATGTTTATATCTTGATTGGATAGATAATCTATTTTATGTGTATGAATTAGTTAAATATATTCTAGACCGGCCATCTTTAGTATATTTTGCTAGTTTTATTGCTAGAATATTGATTTGTGATACATAAATGTCCGGATTAATATTTTTTAGTAGCACTTAGGTGTTTGATGGGTGACTGAAGCTTGTCCGATGCCTATGATTATCAGCTCTTTAAGTTGCACGAATCTGAGCTTGTGAGATTTGTGGATTAAGTTAGCTACTTCCTAGTTATTAATGCTGCTAATTAATCGAGTCTAGAAAGCTTGTTCCAGATTGTTAGTTAGTTAGACAATACTCCAAGAGCTTATTTGGTTTATTTGCAATTAAGGGAAGTGTTGAATGTTTTTTTGTGTTCATCGGCTAACATTGAGATAAAAACATGATTTATATAATTTGATGATCAATCGATATTCCAATGCTATATTTTATCTCCCGATCCCTATTTTGTCATTCTTGATTTTTAATATTTATTATTACTGTTAGTTTTATATCTCCGTACTTAGTTTGTTTTCAAGTCCTTAGTATATATATTAGATCGTAATAGTCATTCTTCAAATTAGGGGTTTTTAACATACACAAGTAATTTTTTAATAATCCAATTCTCTGTGGGATCGACCCTAGCTTACCTTACTACATTTTTAGGAGGTTAGAGTTAGAATTTTTTTTTTGGTAGACACGCGACAGTCGTACCACCCATTACTATCCTCATTAGTTTCGTAAGTGTCATTTTGGAATGGCAATTTTGACTTAATATTCTTTGGGACTTAGGATTTCTATGTTGGTTGATTTAAGTGAACTAAATTAATCATTTAAAATTCGAAATCCGAAACATCCATCTAATATCACAATTATATATAAGCAAAATATATATAAGGCGTAAATAAAGATGCATTTGGCAAAAACTAGCATAACCCCTTAAAACTTGAATCTTCAAGGGCCTTCATTGCATCTTCTTCGCTTCGTCTTCTTAGAAACGCCGTCTTCAAAACATCGCCACCAATTATGCAACTACTAGAGAAGCTAGGACTAATCTAAATAATTTAAGTACAAAAATAGTTAACGGCATGCGATCTGTATTTATATTTACAAAAATACAATACAGAACACAGTCTGTATTTACTATCCTAGTCGGGCCCCACTAGTTGCCATTTTGTAAAAACCCGCATTAGAATATCTATTCCATTCATCATTTCACTTCTAAAGTGAATGGCCCATGCATTTACAAAATAAATCAAGCAATAATGCAAAACGAGCGCAAACTAGTAACTAACTTAGGCCGATAATCCGATTAACGCGCCTAATTAAAACTAGTCAAAGTAATTATCCGATTATGTGAATTAACGCAATGATAATAGCTCAAAACGATTAATAAAGCTCACACTAAATTCCACATCCAACTTAATTAAAATTAATCCAATAAAAATTAATTAAGCCAGTTAACCCAAAATTTTGCCAAATAATTTTGCAAGTGCCGGGAAAAACCGAGGCCTAGCCTTGTTTTAATTAAAAAAAACGCAAACCGCAAATATAATAACCCCTCAATGGTCGAAAGCATAGCATCCAAGCCATGAGGCTAGGCTTGCTAGGCACCCAACCTAGCTACTATGCGTGGGTGCTAGCCGCACAACCACAGCAGCGCGCAAGCGCCTGCTATCACTAGCAGCGTCGCAGCATGCCCATCATGCTTGCTTGCCGCTGGTGCTAGCAGCATGCTGGCGCGCATGCATGTGTCAGCCGCATGCGCTGCTAGGCAGCCATGCCTTGCGGCTGGGCGATGCCTGGCAGTCGCGCCCCCACACAATACGCATCACGCACACACACTCCCTCGCGCACACTCACACATGCCTTGGCTCAACACCAACATGAGGGCTGTCGCAAGCAGCCCTGCTGGCCGAGCCTAGGTGCTCGAAGCATCGGCTTTGATTTTGTGCTTGTTATGCTTCTTGATTTATTCCGAATTTTTTGTGTGACATAAAAATTAATTCTAAATTGATTTTAGAACTAATATTGAGCAATATTGAAAATAAAACAAGTCCAACATAATTAAATTTAATTTTAGTCCACAAACCAAAATAAATTCAAGAACCATTCTTTAAATATATATATATATATATATATATATATATATATATATATATATATATATATATATATATATATATATATATATATATATATATATATATATATATATATATATATATATATATATATATTGGTTCAACTTGATACAAAAATTTAGGGCCATTCTCAAAAATAATTTAACGAACATAAATTAACAAAGAGATTTGACAAAATAGTTGAATAAATAACCGATCATCCAATGAAATAATTTATCCAAAACTTACATATGCACAATTGAATATTGTAACCTTCCAATATGAAGAACAATAATATTTCAAGCACAAGTATGAACATTTAAGATTTTAATCAACTTCCAAAATGACTAAAACCAAAAATTATTTCATTATGGATTTTAGCAAGTTAAGATTCAACCATTTAAACCATTAAAAGGGTTTCAAAAATCATATTCACCATAAACTTTTACACTCCAAGCAATTAATTTGCAAAAAAATGTGAAATTTCAAGTTTATGTGAAATTAAGAGCTCACCGAATCAAGCACCAATATGAATTCATAAGCATGCTTAATAAGGGTTAAAATTGCATAAGATTAATGGTATAATCAAACACATAATCCAACAATTGCATGCCATAATTAATCAATGTTTAAAGATTTAAAAAATTCGTCAAAACAAAAAAAAACCTTCGAAAAACCACTTTTTGGGTGGATTTTCGCTTCTACAAGGCCATTTTTAATCACAAAGTAGATAAACTCTGATTTAGAACGTTGATTCCACCAAAAATTCACTATTTTAGAGTCAAAATCGGAGTTCGTAATCCAAAATTAGCACTAATAATATTCTAATCTAATTAAAATCGAGCTCCTAATCTAATTAGGATGCTAAACCAGAAATTTAAATCCATTTTAAATCACCCTAATTAATTTATTAGTTGTAAAAATTAAATGCAACCTGGCTCTGATACCACTGTTGGTTTTTGCGGTGTCCGACACCGCACGGAAACAAAACCTGATAACTGGATCGCATGCATAATAATTACAACATAAACAAAAGCATGCAAATAAACAAAACAAGAACACATAAAGAGAAGAGAGAGATAGAAACTCACCCTTGACGCGTGCTTTGCTCACTCAATGAGCTCGGACTTGAAAGCTTCAAGCTCCGCAAGTGAGAAACCACCGACAGTTCACACCCTCGCTCACCAAACCGGAATCGGTCCCTACCCCGTAGCTTAGATGGGGCTAGACCAAAATTAACTTAGAGTTTACGAACTAAGGTTTTCTCGCTTTTGGAGATCCCTTAGAGTTCACCAACTCAAGTGAATTTCCCAATACCTAATAATTGGTATTTATAGGGAAATAATCCCAAGAATTCCCATCATCTTTCAATGTGGGATAGTTGGTAAAAAGGCAAAAAGAATGATTTAATTTAAATCCAAATTAAATTAAATGTCCAAGCAATTAATAAACGAAAAGTGGCACAAGAACAAGGAGGGTAGGTGGGAGGACCACAAGGGAGGAGGACCACTTCCTCTTCCCTTGCTCACCAAGCATAACCAGCCTCCCATGAGGCTTGCCTAGCTGGCAACCCCAACCTTGGGCTCCAACGCATGCCATGCTAGCAACCTGGTCCTTTGGCTGGGCCTGCTAGCTGCTCCCAGTCCAGCGCGTGCGGCTAGCTGGTGGGCTGGTGTGCGTACCGGCTTTCTAGCTAGCTGCTAGCGTGCGGGCTAGCACGCACACGCAACGTGCAGCTGCTAGCCATGGCCCGCATGGCGTGCTGGGTTGGCTGTCATGCTACGCGCATGACTAGCCGGGCTAGCTGCCATGCTTGCAGCATTAGCTAGCTATCCTTGGCCTATCCCCGCATGGTCAGCACCATGCTAGACAGATGTGGAGGTATGGCCAAGGTTTTGACCCTTATGTCGCTTAAATTATTTTACTCGTCTTTGTTGATTTCGGAAATCGACTTGACGCTTGGCTTCGACGCTCTAAGCTCGAAATTCGACGTATTAGTTCGTAAAATCTCTATCGACGTATTTAATCCTTCGGATTAATTCGTCGCTTCGATTCGGTTACACGATTGGGTGTGAACCGAAGGGTTCAATCAAGAGCAAGGTGTAATATTAATTGTACATTAATATTACTGATCGGAAGCGGCCTTCAGCTAGACATTACGATCACTTGACCTCCTAAATAATTAGCTTTCCTAATTAATTCTGAACCCTCTATCGGAATAATACACTTGTTCGAAGGATACCATTCCTTTCAAAAAGAATGAATAAATGAACTTCAAGTTATCTTATTAAGTTAATTAATTGAATAAACAAACTTCAATTTAAATAAAATGAATAAACAAAGTACTTAACCTTAGCCTAAGTTTATACAAAAAATCAAGTAAAATAAAAATGAAGAAACGAACTATCTAGGCTTAGCCTAATCCTAGAAGTTTTTCTTATGTTAAAAAAAGCATCAAATAATAGTAAGTTGAAAAAACTGAATAAACGAACATCAAGTTAAAAAGGTAAATTGCAAAAAACTCAAGTAATACTACTTAGCATTAGCCTTAGCCTTATAAATTAAATAGGACATGTACAATGCGTTTTTAACATGAAATTCAAACTATATTCATAAATATTTTTGAATTCCATTTTTTATTTTATTTTATTGAGTAGAATACTAAATTGGACATTAAGGTTTTTGGTAATGGGAATAAAGGTAAGCGATACAAATAAATGTAGAATATTATCGTATGAGTTTGTGTCAGATACGAGAATTAAAAGTATTTAGGGGCTTAAGGTTTAGGGTAATGTAACTAAATAATTAAAAGTATTTTGTCAAGGGAATATAACTAAAGAGATGAAGTAAATGTACAATATTATCAAATGATATGTATTTATCGTGTGAGTTTGTGTCACATACGAGAATTAATAGTATTTAGGGGGTTAGGGTTTAGGGTAATATAACTAAATAATTAAAGTATTTTGTCAAGGGAATATATAACTAAAGAGATAGAAGTAAATGTACAACATTATCAAATGATATGTATTTATCGTGTGAGTTTGTGTCACATACGAGAATTAAAAGTATTTAGGGGTTTAGGGTTAGGGTAATATAACTAAATAATTAAAAGTATTTTGTCAAGGGTATATAATAACTAAAGAGATAAAAGTAAATGTACAATATTATATAATGAAATGTATTTATCGAAAGTCAAATAAAAAGATTAGGACACTAAGTTTATATGTAATTAATTTCATATGTAAAATAAAAAGAATAGGACATCAAGTTTATATGTAACTAAAAAAAGTAGGATACCAAATATATTGAACGTCAAATAAGAAGAGTAGGACACCTAGTTTATATGTAAATAAAAAGAGTAGGACTCCAATTTTGTATGTAATTAAGGAGGGAATTAATTTTTAACCAATTTAGTTTAAGATGTGTATTATTATTTAGTAGTTGGATTAATGTTTATAATAAAATTTTATTTTAATATTGTATTTATCTTAATCAATCAAGTAACAAGGATTGACTTGTAAAGACCCTATTCCATTAATAAAAAATAAATAAAAAAAAAAGGTTTGACTTGTAAAGAAAAACAGAACTTTAGTTCTACTAAATCAAAAATTCAATTGTAAAGGAAAATTTTAGAACAAAAACTTTAAAAAATGATAATCAAAATTGTTTTTTAATATTTATCAAACATACTCCCTCTGTCCCTAAATTTTTGCCCCATTGCAAAAATTTGGGTCAAATTTTATAAATTTTGACCATAAAATACTCTTAATCTATAAGTGATAATATAATCATGTGAGATTTTGTTGGATTCGTCTCATTGTACATTTTATTAATATTTAGTTTTTATAATTTTTACACTTGTAAAAATGGGGATATAACCATTTTAAGAAGCTTGTTGGAGACCGTGAAAAGTCAAATGGGGCAAAGAATTAGGGACGGAGGGAGTATTATATACGTATTGCATTTATTCAAGTATAGAAGTATAGAAAAGCATTCCTTTTACACAATAACCCCTATATAAAGGGACCAGCTCTTCTACATATGACGCACCAAACTTAAACACACTCTAAAGTAGAAAACACAAAAACCCTCTTTTGAGTACGTCTTCTTCCAGCCAAGAAATGGACACTGATGTGCCTATGCCTAAACTACCCCCAATAAATGCTCGCCCAACACCTTTCCCACGTAGGCACCAGGATGCTTCCCGGACTTATGGACGGCACAAGAGGCCCGTACCTGGTCGTCACACTGTTCTTGCAAAAATAGCTGTTGGGACATTCATCCCCGTCGTAGCAAACTAAGCTGGAGACTCTAATCCTTGTTGTTTCTGTTATTATTGACGATGTTGTCGTCGACCTCACTGTTGAACCAGATGTCACCCAGATTTCCTACTTGAAAAATCTGGTGGTGACACAAGCGTCATCGATGTTAGTGGTGATGAAACCAAGGTGGAATCAAAAGGCCAGACCGTAGCTGATGATACTCTTGCAGCAACACAGCAAGTCCCGCTGACTTTGTTCCCAAAGGTAACATTCCATGTTCGTAGTCGGGCCAATGAAGACCCTAGTGTTGAGTACAGCCTATGGGTGAATGAAAACTTCATGAGCATTTACTATGCATACACTGAGAGGGTAGACCGCCTTCCGGACGAAATATCAATTAAGAAGGTTGTAGGGCAAACTACAGGGCTGGTGTTCTGTACAGAGACCCCAGAGCGTGCTGGTGTTGAAATCGGTTCTGTCTTGTATGTTGTTGGCCAGGTTCGAATATATTTGCTCAAATTTCAGCTTTTTGTTTTTTTTAATAGTTCATGTTACATTGCTCTGTTTATTTGGATTAATGGTTCATGTTACATTGCTTTGTGTATTAAATCTGCATATTCTTTGGATAAATGCTTCATGTTAATTATTTCACATATTTTGGAATATATTTGCTCAAATTTCTGTTTTTTATATTTTTAACAGTTCCTATTACACTGCTTTAATTATTTGGATTAATGGTTCATGTTACATTGCTTTGTGTATTTAATCTGCATATTCTTTGGATATATGCTTCATGTTAAATTGTTTCACATATTTAATGTGCATATTATTTGGAAGGTTGCTTCGTGTTGCATTGCTCTGTTTATTCAATCTCCATGAAGAATGCTTCCTGTTACATTCCTTTGTTTATTTAATGGCCATATTATTTGGATATATGCTGCGTGTTACATTCCCTTTTTCATTTAATCTGCATATAATTTGGATAAATGCTAGAATCCCGAGGATAACATGGATGTCCACACCAAGCTTGTGTATCTCCGAGAGTTGCGCACCCGCCGCTTAGGAAGAAGGTCATCGTCCCTGTCGATGCGTATCTGAAGGTGTTGTTCAACATTTGGAGTGATGAGGTCGATGTGAATTAGGAGATCATACAAATATTTCATGAGAATCGGAATGTCCTCCCATGTCAAATTCTCTGTGATGTTGGTGTTCGAAATGGCCACGAGCTGTTCTGCTTAACCAACATCTAGTCCATTCTTCGTCGAGGGAGATGTTTTTGTCCTTGTTATGGAGTTTTAATGTTATTTATTAAGTTGAAAAGTGAATTTGCTAATTAAGTTAATTAAATCACCTTGAGCATGAATCCGTCTTATATAGGTCAGTTGTGTGATACTCTTTAAGGCCATTTGTGTCATAATCTCCAACTTAGTAGTAGGTGTTGCTAGATGTCTTCTGTGTGGAGTTGCTAGATATCTTTTGTGTCAAAGTCCCATGTGATTTGGTAGCAATATCAACCTTTTTCTGTATTATATTTGGTTAACTAATGAAATGATCAGTTGGTTTAGTTGTTGATGATTATTGAGTGTTTATTACTATTATTTATTTGGTTTGCCTCATTTCTATATTTATTATCATAATTATGTAAAGATAATTTGTAAAATGGTAAAAAGTTGAAAAAAAGAAATGGTGCAAGGCAATAGCTAATATAGTAATATGTAATGATAATTTTGATAAGTCTGTTACATCTAATGGAGTAATGAACAATAAGGAAAGCATGTCCAATTAAATGGTCTAGGGCCTCATATTATTTAAATAGTCCTGCGCCTTATATCTTTTGGATTAGTCTGTTATTTTTGATGGGATAATAGCATGTTCAATCAAATGGGCCGTGGCCTCATATCATTTGAAATATCTTTTCAATCAAATTCCGTATTGTATAATGTATTAATGCATAACACTTAAACATGCTCATCAAAAAATAAAATATCAGAAGATCATGAATACAGATAAATGTTTTTCTAGAATTATACAACAGTAAATATAAAAAAATGCTTATAAGTCAAGTCTAAACTCATATGGTAACACTATTTGTAGATATTTTCTTTTAACTTCAAGTTCCTTCCTCTCTTATCCTTAACCTTGGACTTGGAGATAGCAGGCCCTGCTACCATCTTTGCAACTAAACAAAAACAATATTTCACCCATAATGCATCAGCACAACAATCACAATAGTAGCAATTGGTTTCATCTACAACACTTACATCGAAATCATCCTTGGCTGCTACACTATACCGTGCCTCCATTGGGTGCTGTTCTCCATAGGCAACATCCAATACCTACATTAGTGTTGTCACAGTCTCTCATATCAGACCCTGGTCTAAGGAATAATTATAATCAAATAAAAATACATTAGCCTTACCCCTAACCTCCCATAGTCCCCGGTCACTAACAACTTCAATGCATTTCGAATCTGCTGCATATTCCATACCTTCAATCTGGGGAATGATTCCCAATCGACAGGATCCCTAGCCAAACAGTCTAGGTAAAAAATCTGCAGACATTTTAAGTATAAAAGTTGTGTGCCAGACATATATATATGTATGTATATGTACCTAGTAAAATCAAATTCAAATGAAAATACATAAAGTAAATTGTAATTGACTTACAACGGCAAATATAGCACACCTGCCACATCCACTCACAAACCCATGAGCATATAAACGTCGGGCAAAACTAGAAACACTCCCCAGGAATAGACAACACTAAACCACACCAGTCATACTCAATTGCCTCCGTAGCACAGCAAATCGCAGGTAACAAATCAGCCGCAAGACGGGGTGGTTGTGTAGGGCAAAACACCATCTCTAAATAAACTATCAAGAAAAGCGTCTTGAATTCTTCTTCCTTTTCCGGATCAAATTACCCCTCTAATTGATCCGTCATTTCAGAATTCAATGGTATCCCAACCGACGTGTAAACACGACCACATTGTCCAGAGGACTCCCAAGACTTCCCATACTTCAATAAATTTCTCTGAACCTTTTCACGATCCTCATGAGCCATGGTTTTAGTCGAAGGAACACTCTTTAAACCCATTGGTATCCCTAAAACCCATCGAACTTGTTTCTTAGAAAACCTAAACTCAACACCGTCTAGGGTTATGAACATTTTACTTATCGGATCTATACGTGTCATCAACCAATACGCCAACTGCGTCGATAATTGCATATCACATGAAAGATGTAATAGACCACCAAATCCCATCTCATACACCCAACGTTTTCTCCTATCATCAAATTTCCCACAAATCCGACCAAATGACTCAATCCGGCAACTCATGTTGGGAGGCTGTTAAATTAAAGTAATGATAAATACACAAGCTAACAAAACAACACATTGCAACACTAAAACATCAAAAATCTTACCCTCCTAATCCTCTTTGAATGTTCCTTCACAACCTCTTATCTAGCTTTGACACCTCCACCGTAAGTTAAACTATCAACCTAAAATATCAACAACATTAGCAATATTTTGTTTGGATTAGCACTTTAAAATATTCATTTCACAAAAAAATTACTACCTTAAAAATTGTCGGGTACAAGATTATTGTTTTCTCCTTGGCTTTCGATGCTTCTTGCAATCCCATGGACAACAATATCTTAACAGCACCATAAACAATAGTAGAGAATAAATTTGATTGACTTACTAATACCCTTTTCTTCAATGTATATCCCTCCTCCTCAACTAAGCCAACCTACACAGTTTGAGCAAATGCACCTTGAATATACTTCTCCAATCTAAATTATACCACTAATAAGCTAACATGGCACAGGGTGCTCTCCTCATTTTTCTCACAAATTGTTCTTCTGCGCTTACACTTAACTTCAGAAGACATTTACAGGATCCTGTACAAGATTGAATCGAATTGTATGATTAAATACTAATGCTTCATAAGCGCAATTGAGGATTTCTCCAGATGAACCTCCACAACAACAGCACCAATATTGTAGTAATTAAAAGGAAACAAACAGTTCATTTTAAAGTTGAGTAACAATGAACGAGGATTTCATACAAGCTAAAATTGTTTCAACTCAATTTTTCCACAATTCATTTTGAAGAGCAGCTCAATTCATTTCGATTTGAACTCAGTTTTAGCCAATAATTTCTCCTCAATTCATTTCGATTTCAATTCAATTTCTGCGCAATTTATTTAGATTTCAATTCAATTTCTCCGCAATCATTTCGATTTCAATTCAATTTCATAACTCAATTTCATAACGAAGGAAATGAAAATCGAACAATTCCTAATTTCAATAAACACGACAATCAATTCCAATCTACATAAAGGAATTACCTTCGTCAATGTTGTCGACTCCACAATATTCGTCAAACTACCAGCTATTAAACTCGAACTCGGCAGCAAGTCCAACTTCGAATAGCAAATCAGTTCAGCCCTATGTTCTTTTTTTAATCTGCTCTCTTTCCAATATTCAGACAAAAGGAGGGTAATTCCAAATTACAGTAACATGTGGAATTTAACTCCGTCAAGTAATCTGTTATACCCATGTTGTATAACTGTCACCAAGTTTTCTAAGTCAGAGTCCATATAATGTGTAATTACGGGTAAAATGATGAAATTGCCCCCATGATAAATGAAGTTGGTTAATCATTAAGAGAAACAGAGAATTCGCCCTTTGTTTTTGTTATTGTTTGGCATCCCAAATTTTTGTCAGGTGTTTCTTTTTTTATATATACTTACTTACCTATTGTATCATTATTTCTTTTAGATTTTATTGTATTAATTTCTCATTATAATAAGTGTTTGTGCTTTGAAATTGAATATTCAGCTGAGTTGTCATGATGCTTCACTTGCTATTAGGCATGTATTTGAACGCTTCCAAACAGTTGTAATTACCTCTGGAACTCTGAGCCCTATAGATCTGTACCCACGCCTTCTGAATTTCAACCCTTTAGTAAGTCGAAGTTTTACTATGTCCTTGACAAGGGACTACATATGTCCAATGGTCCTAACCCATGGAAGGTGAAGGTTTACTCTTGGATTTTTATCTTATTTTCGTATTTGAGTTTCTGATTGAATGTTGTGTGAAGTTTATAGATGCCTTTTTTGCTATTGACATGTATGGTTTGTATGTTTGTTTTAGTGATCAACTTTAGTTAGTACAAAGTATGATATGAGAAGTGATTCGGGTGTTGCAAGGAACTATGGAAGGCTATTAGCAATGGTTTCTGTTGTTCCTGACGGAATAGTGTGCTTTTTTGTCAATAATTCACAAATGGATGTCATTGTTAACCTGTTCTTTTGAGTTATTTTGCTCTGCCCTATTCTGCTGAGATCTGCTCTGCTCTGCTATTCCCTTCTCTAATCTCTACTTTACTTAAAAATAATAATTAATAATAATAATAATTAATATTTACTAAAAATAATACCTATAACAATTATTAATATTTAATAAAAATAACAAATATTTATAGATAATAATAATTAATCTTTAATACTAATAATAATAATAATTAATATATAATATTAATTGATAATAATAACTAATATTTAATGATAATAATTAATTTTTTATATTATTCAACACATTTTTTAATGTTATAAAAAGATTAAAAATATAAAAATAATCAAATAATAATAATAATTATTATTATTATTATTATATTATTATTATTAATGATAATAATAATAATATTAAAAATAAAAATAATAATAATAATAATAATAACAATTATAATAATTAATGATAATAATGCGATAATAATAATAATAATAATAATAATAGTAATAAACCTAATAATAATAATAATGATAATAATAATAACAATAATAATAATAATAATAATTATTATTATTATTATTATTATTAATGATAATAATAATAATATTAAAAAAAATAATAATAATAATAACAATTATAATAATTAATGATAATAATGCGATAATAATAATAGTAATAAACCTAATAATAATATTAATAATAATAATGATAATAATAATGATAATAATATTTTTGTTTATTTTGTTTACATGTTGAATATTTGACAGAAAAGAAAAATGTTGCCAATTAAAAATTTATTTGGAAAGATTGTTATTAATCACCTTTAATTTTGTACTACCTCTGTTATTTTTTGTTCGACCCATTTAATGTGGTCAAACTAAAAAAAACTTTGACAGCTTATGGCTTTTTTTATGCAAATGAAAAATTATTTTGTTTGATCTTGTTAGAATCTTTTCAATGAATAGTATCTAAATATCAAAGTTTGATAATTTGCATTATTACGTAGTTAAAGATAAAGGTTGGTCAAACACGTAGTTAGGCCACACAAAATGCAAATGAGTAGAACAAAAAAGAACGTATGGAAAATACCATTGAACATAAATTACGTGTGGAAGGTATATCATAAAATTTTCAAAACATTCTTTAATGTATATCCTGCTGCAAAATCAAGAGGTCGGAGAAGTTTACAATGACGTGAATAGTTATGATAAAATTTGTGATGTTAATTGCATACATTACTTTTATTGCAGGGGAAAGGTAGCTGAAGGTATAGGTTTTGATCGGCATTATGGAAGACTAGTGATCATGTATGGGTTCCTTTCCATTACACATTGAGCAAGTGGCTTTTGTTTCAACTTAAATATATATATATATATATATATATATATAACCGAGCTATCGTGAGAATTAGCCGAATAATAGGAACTAAGAATTAATCTAAACCATCAGATTTAACACAAAGGCGCGTGATCTAACGGCCCAGATTTGTTCAGACAAATTAAATGAAGCACGAAAATTCAGGCGCCATTTTCTCTCTCTTCTCTCTCTCCTCTGCCATTTTCTCTCTCCTCAAAAACCTTTGAAAAACTGCCAATTTCAATTGCCTAATTACGTTATATAAGCGCAATTCTAGTTCTATTATTTACATTTTTTTCAGTTTCCAAACAAAAATTGTCGAAAATTGGCAAAAATTAGGTATTGCTTTGAAACTTTGAAGTTCATACTCTTTCGTTTAATTTTGTTGCAAATTTTTCCTTATTTTTGTGTTTTTTGTTTGAATTTGTTGAATTTGAAGTAGCAGAATTTGAATCGGAGTAGTTCGAAGTTCAATTTCTAAGTTTCGAAGTTCAACTTGCTTTATTCATGTATTTTTGGAATTTTGTTTGTTTTTGTTCTAATTTCGTTTGATTTACTTTTAATTTCTAGTTAAATTTGTTGTAATTTAGTTTAAAATTGGTTAGAAGTTAAATCGAAGGTTTTTATTTATTTATTTTTACGAATTTTGTTATAAACTTAGATCAGTTTTTTTTTTTTTTTTTTTTTTTTTTTTTTTTTTTTTTTATCAGATTTTTTCATGAATATTGGTAAAAATCTGTTTATTTTGACGAATTTGAGTAATTTTGGTTCTATTACGACTACTTTTGAGTAATTTTAGTTGATTTTTGAGTAATTTTGTTATAATAGTTAAAAGAAATTAGATAAAAGTTGATACAAAATAATTAAAAGTCAATAAAATACTGTATAATTTTTTTGAAATTAAGCGATTAGTAATTTTTATCTTACTGTCATTAATTTGGAGTAGTTTCCTTTAAGTTTTAGTAGTTTCCTTTAATTTTGAGTGGTTTTTAATACAAGTAGATAGAAATTGGCTAAAAGTTACTTTAAATTGATTAAAAGTTAATTAATTACTGTATGATCTGTAGCTATTATGGCTTGTGTATAAATAAAGAAATTGATGTTGTTGAAATGAGGATGGGGTTTTTGTTTCGAAATGTTGCATATATAGAAATCATTTGTTGTTGTTATTATAATTAAAAGAGTTGATTTGAAAGTATATATTAGGCAGCATGATTCAAACGAAACACCTTGCTAGTTTAATATTTTATCACTCTGTATTTTAGGTCTTGAAGTATAAATCAGGAAATAAAAAAAACCATTAATCTATATTTTAAGTTTAAATTTTACTTGATTTTACTTTTAGCATCTTAACAGTATTTATCAGAAAGCATGTTTCATTTTTGTTTTGAATTGCATGCAGATCAAAATGACAAAAAGTCCAACGGTGCAAAGAAACCTCCAATACGACCTGTTGCAGCAACCAAAGAATCTCCAAAGAAACCTGTTGGAGATAAAAAGAAACTTGTAAATACAAAGAAACCTCAAATAGAAGATCCTATAGGAAAGAAAGCTCTTGCAACAAATAAAGCTCCTGCAGCAGAGAAGATATCTCCAAAGAAACCCGCAGATTCAAAGAAATCTCCAATTAAAGGTATATTATCTTAAAGTAAAAGATTCAATTTATAAAGTAAGTAGAAAGAGTTATAAAGTAAACCATTTGCCTTTATAAGTCTATGCTATCAATATAAATATTATGATGCATACAATTAAATGATTGAATATAAAAAGTAAATGATAAGTTTAATAAAGTAAATAGAAATGCTTATAAAGTAAAAATATATGTTTTAAAAGTTATATAACATGTTTTGTGTTTATATACTCCTTGAATTAACATAAAATCATTGTTAAACTTAACTGTATTAGGTGCTAAACTTCAAAGGATTTCAAAAAAGCAAATATTGATAAAGAAGAGGCTTAAGGAACTTGAACCTTCAAAAGGTTTATAAAAATTTATTGTATTAGGTGCTAAAGTTAGACTGATATGTTGTGAATTAAGTTGTTTGTTCTTAAATGTTTTAATATTAAAAGTAAATTTTTTAATATCTTCAAGTTTAACAAAATATAGGAACCAAAAAAAGAACAAAAGCTGAAGATAAAGATAGCAATTATGAACCAGAAGCTGATAACAATGAAGAATTTGATGGATCATCAGAATAAGAAAGGAAAAATACAAAAACTCATTTAAAGAAGAAAATGAAGCTTGACAGTTCAGATAAGGAGGTACAAGAAGTTATATGATAAGTGTCATTTATGACACATTTTAGGGTGGTTTTCTCCCTTAGTTTTAGGTTTATCTTGGTTTATCTTGGTTATTTTTAGTCCTTTTAGTCTTGTTTTAGTTAATAAAGTCTTAGTTTATATTTTTAGGCTTTAGTTGTGAATAATGCGCTTGTTGTTCGGTTTTTAGCTTGATTTGCGTGCTTTTCTATGTGATCTTTCACTCTTTTCTCTCTTGCTCTATTTATCTGGGTACTTGGCACTTTTCTTGATGTTGATGGCCCAAGAGAAGGCTGAAAAACTCAATAGAAGAAGCCTTGAAGCCAAAAAGAAGCTAAGAAGCAGAGCATTTGCAGCGCTTAAGGCTAGAACTGCTGCTCAAGCAACCCTCCACACAACAAAGGCACCAAGCAAGAGCAAGTAGCAACTGCTGTGGCACGGGGGACTTTATCGTGGTGCGGCAGACCTACCGTGGCATGGTGGTCATTGTCGTAGTGCGACAGACCTGTCTTGACACGGTGGTCCTTGCCGTGCGGCAAACCTATCGTGGCACAACACGATATGTTTTCCAGTTTTTTCTTCATTCCTATAGATGGTTGGCCGCCCCCTGAGAGAGGGCTCTCCGCTGATCACCGCGGGCGCGGTCATGTCGTGTGCGGGTGCGGTCTTCTGGGTTTTCTTCACACCTAATTTCCGGTTTTTCTCCTTTTTCTTCTTGTATTATAAATAGGGGTTGACCCTATTTTGAAGGGGGGACTTTTAGCAAATTTTTACACATTTTCTCTCACCTCTAATTAGGATTAGGCTTAGATTAGGAACTTCTCTCTCTAAATTAGGAATAGTTTTAGAGAGAGAAAGCTAGGGATTTCAATGGAGAATTGAGAGCTTGAAGATGCAATTATGTGGATTCTCTTCTCAACTATTCAATGAGCATTTCTAACTTTCTCTCACCCTTATTGGTTTCTTTAATTCTTGTTTTTGCTTAATTCTTTGTTGATTAGAGTAGATAATTAGATTACTTGTTTGATTCTAGCTTTAATTCTTGTTTTATCTTGTTTTCCATGTTTTTTCTTCATTATCATTGCTTGATTTTTTTAAAGGGATATGGATGAATGTTATGTTGATGAATTGAATGATTGATTGTGATTAATATGCAATTAATTCTTGATTATTGCGTATGGATGATGTTTACATTGCTTAAAGTCTTTTTAGCTAATTGATTCTAGGTTTCTAATTGTGCTTGTGCAAAAGTGAGTTGATTGAGAGTCTAGATTCTTCCATACCCATGCTTGGCTAGTAGCACGGGAGTGAATTAGCTTAGTAGGATAATTAGCATGCTTAATTGTGTGGTAGTGAGTTGAGTATGTTGATTGTTCCTAATTGAGATCGT